AAAGGAAAGAAAAAAGAGAAAAAAGAGAGGAAGTAGAAAATAAAAAAGAAAAAAGACAATAGACAGCAGAAGAAGAAGAAGAAGAAGAAGAAGAAAGAAGAAAGAAGAAGAAGAGTTTTAAAGTGTGAAGAAGAGAAGAAAAAAAAAAAGAGAAAAAAAAAAGACATTTTTAAAAGAAGAAGAAGAAGAAGAAGAAGAAAAAGAGGTTTAAAGTGTGAGGAAGAGAGAAAAAAAAAAGAGAGGAAGTAGAACAATAAAAAGACATGAAACAGCAGCAATAGAAAAGAAGAAGAAGAAGAAGAAGAAGAAGAAGAGTTTTAAAGTGTGAGGAAGAGAGAAAAAGAAAAAAGAGAGGAAGTAGAACAATAAAAAGACATGAAACAGCAGCAATATAGAAGAAGAAGAAGAAGAAGAAGAAGAAGAAGAAGAAGAGAGAGAAAAAGAGAGGAAGAGAGAAGAAAAAAAGAGAGGAAAGAGAACAATAAAAAAGAAACAGAAGAGAAGAAGAAGAAGAAAGAAGAAAGAAAAAAAAAAAGAGAGAAGAAGAACAATAAAAGACATGAAAACAGCAAATAGAAGAAAAAGAAAAGAAAAAAGAGAGGAAGAGAAAAAAAAAAGAGGAAGAAACAACAAAAATACAAGAAGAAGAAGAAGAAGAAGAAGAAGAAGAAGAAGAAGAAGAGTGTTAAAGAGGAAGAGAGAAAAAAAAAAAAGAGAGGAAGAGAACAATAAAAAGACATGAAACAGCAAAATAAAAAGAAGAAGAAGAAGAAGAAAAGAAGAAGAAGAAGAGAAAAAGTGTGAGGAAGAGAGAAAAAAGACAAAAAGAGAGGAAGTAGAACAATAAAAAGACATGAAACAGCAGCAATAAAAGAAGAAGAAGAAGAAGAAGAAGAAGAAGAAGAGTTTTAAAGTGTGAGGAAGAGAGAAAAAAGACAAAAAGAGAGGAAGTAGAACAATAAAAAGACATGAAACAGCAGCAATAAAAGAAGAAGAAGAAGAAGAAGAAGAAGAAGAGTTTTAAAGTGTGAGGAAGAGAGAAAAAAGAAAAAAGAGAGGAAGTAGAACAATAAAAAGACATGAAACAGCAGCAATAAAAGAAGAAGAAGAAGAAGAAGAAGAAGAAGAAGAAGAGTGTGAGGAAAGAGAGAAAAAAAAAAAGAGAGGAAGTAGAACAATAAAAAGACATGAAACAGCAGCAATAAAAAAGAAGAAGAAGAAGAAGAAGAAGAAGAGTTTTAAAGAAAAAGAGAAAAAAAAAAGAGAGGAAGTAGAACAAAAAAAGACATGAAACAAATAAAAGAAAAGAAGAAGAAGAAGAAGAAGAAGAAGAAAAAGAAGAAGAAGAAGAAGAAAAAAGTGTGAAAGAGAGAAAAAAAAAAAGAGAGGAAACAACAATAAAAAAGACATGAAAAACAGAAGAAGAAAAGAAGAAGAAGAAGAAGAAGAAAAGTTTTAAAAGTGTGAAAAGAGAAGAAAAAAAAAAAAAAGAAGAGGAAGTATAAAAAGACATAAAAAGCAGCAATAAAAGAAGAAGAAGAAGAAATAGAAGAAGAAGACAAAGAAGAGTTTTAAAGGAAGAGGAAGAGATTGAAAGAAAAAGAGAGGAAGTAGAACAACAAAAAAAAACAAGAAGCAGCAGCAATAGAAGACGACGGAGGAGAAGAAGAAGAAGAAGAAGAAGAAGAAGAAGAAGAAGAAGAAGAGTTTTAAAGTGTGAGGAAGAGAGAAAAAAGAAAAAAAGAGAGGAAGTAGAACAATAAAAGACAGAAACAGCAGCAATAAAAGAAGAAGAAGAAGAAGAAGAAGAAGAAGAGAGTTTTAAAGTGTGTGACATGAGGGAAGAGAGAAAAAAAAAAAAGAGAGGAAGTAGAACAATAAAAAAAAGACATGAAACAGCAAAAAAAGAAGAAGAAGAAGAAGAAGAAGAAGAAGAAGAAGAGTTTTAAAGTGTGAGGAGGAGAGAAAAAAGACAAAAAGAGAGGAAGTAGAACAACAAAAAGACATGAAACAGCAACAATAAAGAAAGAAGAAGAAGAAGAAAGAAGAAGAAGAAGAGTTTTAAAGTGTGAGGAAGAGAGAAAAAAGAAAAAAAGAGAGGAAGTAGAACAATAAAAGACATGAAACAGCAGCAATAAAAAGAAGAAGAAGAAGAAGAAGAAAAGAAGAAGAAGAGTTTAAAAAGAGGAAGAGAGAAAAAGAAAAAAAGAGGAAGTAGAAAATAAAAAAAGACATGAAACAGCAGCAATAAAAAGAAGAAGAAGAAGAAAAGAAGAAGAAAGAAGTTTTTAAAGAGAAAAAAAGAAGAGAAAAAAAAAGAGGAAACAGAAATAAAAAAAGACAAGAAACAGAAGAAAAAGAAGAAGAAGAAGAAGAAGAAAAGAAGAAGAGTTTTAAAGTGTGAAAAAGAGAGAAAAAAAAAAAAGAGAAGGAAGTAGAACAATAAAAAGACATGAAAAAAGAGAAGAATAAAAAGAAGAAGAAGAAGAAGAAGAAGAAG